CACAAAGGCGTCATTACGTCTTCTGGGGATTTTAAGCACAGTGAGTCGCTCATCATAAACGTCACCCAACATCATCGGGTGTTGTCCTGTAATTATATTGAGTACCCCTACTGGTACTAGTAGTATCTGTCTATTGTTCTCACCATTCATGTATCCAAAACCTGAATGTTATAGGCAACGAAATGTGCCAACTTGGTTCATCGCAGCGCCAACAACGCCGGGGCATCGTTCGACACAGGCTGCTCTATCGAATGCTAGTCTTGCCCAAAAAATGGGTTTCAACCCGCATCGCGTATTAATCACATGACCACACCGTTCTGTGGGCGACAATTGGTAGATGTTGGTTTTTGTTCTTCATTTAACTCTTTTTCGGGTTTCTGTTTTCTACACTGGCTGATGTTTCTTTGTTCTTTGCCTTTTACTTCGTTTCGCAAAAAGCGATTACCCGAACCTGAAATTTCCCCCGCTGACCAAGTGTTTTATGCTCAAAAAATCACTAAACCTTGTTCAGGGGAGTCTTTCTCTTCAACAAGCACGAGTATTTTTGAGTCAAGACACTTTTCATCGCGGGAAGAAAGTATAATTCGAAACGAGAAGAAGACAAATGTTCTTTGGTTTGGTAAGCTACTATTTTCACTCTATGATAAAACCGCGCTGAAGGTTGATTACTAGTATCTTTCACCATTTTGTTGGCTTTCCTTACTCGTATTCTACAGAGGCTCCATGTGTCAACTGAACATCAAACTAACAAGCACATACCTTGGGGGCTTCCTGCAATGCTTTGGGAGATAAAACCAACAGATGTGCCTCAATTTGCGCCCATTTGTTGGACTCTGGCTGCACCGTTGCCGATGCTGGTCATTTCTGCCAGGCTGGTCACTTCCCACTGCACTGAATGCTAGTGGACAGGTTTAATATGCAGGAAGCCCAACATATCCACACTGTGCCGCATCTCTATTCGCGACTCTCTTGCTTTCTTTTTATGTATCTTGTACCGTTAACCAATATAAGTTGGAGTCTGACAAGTATGAGTTTACTGAATGCTTCCAACGATATTTGAGCGCTTGAATCGCGGTATTTCTGTTCTGGCGTGTCCTTCATTTTGCACGTTCAATCCTGCCCGCCTCGGAGATCTTGCGAAACTGATGTCTGTTTGGGCACAAATCGTTCAAAAGGGCGACCAGTTGACAACACAACCATGTTAATAAAGAATTAACTTACCAATCAAGTCGGAAGAGACATGCGGATTTTCGAATGCGAGGAGAAGCTAACTCTCGAAGTGGATTTGCCAGGACGGTACCATACAATCATCTGTTACGCATTGAATTCTGGCCCCGAATTAACCAATTTTCAAAAATTAGACCAACGCGCCTGTCAGCCAATGTGGACCATCCTTTTGACCAAACGCTGGCCATTTTTTCACCTCAAATATCGTGCATGCCTTGCCTGTTGTTAGCTTTTTCAACTTGCCTGCATTGGTCAGCCCTGGGGCTTTGACTGCGAGGCAATTCATCTGAACAGGCTTTCCCTGTTTATGATGTTTTAAAAGTCCTGGCCTATTGGTGATTGCTGCCGCTGTAATGGAATATTCCGGGATCTCTCTCTAATGAGTATGCAGAGCCTCCGTTTTGCCACATCCATCTGGGGTTATTGATCGTTTTCTGCAAGATCCTGGCACAGATATGCCTACTTTTGCGGCACAGTGACTACAAGTCCTCAGATGGCGCAACGTAAGTGGACAATGTTGTAGGGAGGCCACATCGTGCTCTCTTCCAACTGCTTTAGGGTTTATTCTCTCACCTATAGGCGCATGATGCAATGCAAGCATTCAGATTTGAAGACTCCAAATACCCGCCCAACTCAATGTCTTCGTACCTTGGCAGCCTCCTTGACCCTTCAGAATGTGAGACGGCTTAAGGATCTTGCCACGAACCCACACACTTATCTGTGCACTAGCCTACTTGTTCTCCAGTGTCGCTCTGGGATATACAGAGCCAACTCTCACGTATGACCCGTGAAGCTTAATCGTTCTCCCTCTCGCCGGACTTCGTTATCATTCTATTTGCCCAGATTGAAGAAGAGCCGGGGCAAGAACCGGGGCTCAAGCACTAACCCACGTCCAGGTTACCTCGTTGCTTATTGTTCAGCTCGTGGCAGGCATCTATGACACTTTGCGCCAGTCGCGTTTAGTTTAGAGCTGTTCCGTTATTTTGTTCCCTTGGACTTTTCTCCATTCACAGTGGCTCTCCTTGTCATCAGCCAATCCTTCCATTCCTATTCTAAACTGTTGCATTTACCCTGGGCATCCTCCATCGTTGAAATGGCCATTCATTTCTTGATTCGTAATATCTCTCCCGGGGAAAAAAAATGGACATACCACTCCTTGAAATTTTATTTCAGCCGAGAAAGAAGATTGACTAAATTCTAACACATCCACAACACCGCCATTCTCCGTCCATCAATGCCCATTTTCGGACGAAATATTTCATTCTCATCATATCCAAATCTGATGGTCTGAAACAACATGACTCCAAGTCAGTGTGCGCTTATAACTAATGACCGTTCTATGCAGGTTATATATTTCCCATGTGACCAATGTTATTTCCGCCTCCTTAGCATGTACAGGGAAAGAAACAGACGTGCAGATGCGCGTTCATTCTTACAAATAAGCATGGTTAATTGGAGAACAACGTGCAAATTCTGTGATGAACCATGTTTATGTGTCTGGCCTCTCGATATAACACTGTCAGGGTTAGAGTGGAGATGTTTCCTAATTTTAGCTATACATCAGCAAACACGGTGATATGCCCGAAGTATTGTTAAAGTCCAGAGCAACTACCTATCTACGTATGTGACCCACCCTTTCGCTCTTTGCTTCCTTCTTTTTGGGTATGATCTCTTATTTCCACAATATTTACTCTACAACTGCCCGATATGACGCTCTCCTAAAATCTTCAAGAGTCATCATTTACTTCATAAGGTTCTTCTAAGCTGAAGTTCGATTCCTGAACTTCTTTCACCGGTCTCTCATCGTATTTAGGCGTCTATATTGTATAATTGAGAACTTGTGTATCACCCTAAGTAGAACTAGCTTATTTTATTTAACGACGTCGCCAATGCTCGAGGTTAATACAGAAGTTTGATTCTCGGGCTCCCTTACAATTTCTGTGTTCCCTTGCTGCGCCTGTTAGAGCCAACCTTTAAATGGAGTTTTAAGAGCTGTCATTATCTTACACCCTTATAATAAAATTAGAAGATAGTATCATACTCACGTTGTATCTCCTCTTATTTACTCTTTGTTGCTGATGGGTTCTCTCTCCGCTTCTTCAGGTACTAGATAGGGTTTATGATTCACATGACCCGTGCGTGCTCCCCCGCCTCTTCAAAACCGTAGATAAAAAAAAAATATAAGGAACGGTCACCAACCAACTTGAGTTTAACTGATAGATAGCAACAATTTACTTTTCATCTTAAGACTTCTCTTAATACACAGAGGCGCCATACAGGCATGGCCGCCACCACTTCAATTCTGGTACATATTGACGAAGATGTTGGCAATGATGACCAAACCGCAACTGGAACAGAATCTTCACCTTTTAAGACTCTAGTATATGCTTTCCTCCAACAGCCGCCTTCAACACCCGATATTCAATATCTGACACGGAAATCAGTGACGGGTCCTGTCAATGAAGGAGAAGACCCTTCCGTGCGATTGGAATGGAGGCCCGCCACCAAATCCGCGCTGAAAAAGGCCAACAACCTATACGAACAACGGAAGAAGAAAGCAGCAAAGGAGAAGGAGCTAGCCATTCGGGAGAAAGATGAGATAGAAAAGCGGAAATTAGTTCTCGAGGAGGCTAAGAAGGTCATCATCAAGGAAGATGAGTCGCTGCCCAAGCCACTCAAGATCAGGCTGAACGAGACTGACCCCGCGAAAATCAAGCTGAGGCCGAGCGATGGCGATGAGATCCCTGGCACCCGTGTTCGCGTAGTAGGGCGAGTTCATCGTCTGAGATCGCAAAAGGATATGATGTTCGTGACGTTGTCAGATGGATATGGGTTGTTACAATGCATTTTCACGGGCGATCTAGTCAAATCATACGGCGCCATGACTCTAACGCTAGAAACATCGATTGCAATCCATGGAGAAATGCGAGCAGTACCGCCGAAGAACCATGCGTATGATGATCGCGAACTCCATGCGGACTTCTTCACTATAATTGGTCGTGCTGCCGGTGACAAGGAGGCTATTACTACCCGTGTTGCTCCTGACTCCGATCCCCACACCCTCTACGACAACAGGCATCTTGTGCTTCGAGGTGAGACTTCATCTTCTGTCATGAAGGTCCGTGCAGCGACTCTGAGAGCCTTCCGAAAAGTGTTCGAAGAAAAGGGTATTTTAGAAGTCACGCCGCCGTCGATGGTGCAAACTCAAGTTGAGGGCGGCAGCACCTTATTTGAATTCGACTATTATGGTGAAAAGGCCTATCTGACCCAATCTTCGCAACTGTATCTCGAAACCTGTCTCCCATCCCTCGGCGATGTATTCTGCATCTGCCCATCCTTCCGTGCAGAGAAGTCTCTCACCCGACGCCATTTATCCGAGTACACCCATGTAGAAGCTGAACTCGACTTCATCAGCTTCACCGACCTTCTCGACCACCTAGAAGATATGATCTGCCGTGTTATCGAGGTCGTTCTTTCGGAGCCATTGATTGCGCGATATGTAAAGCAGCTCAACCCCAAATTTACACCACCGTCGCGCCCGTTCAAGCGAATGAAATACTCTGAAGCAATCGAGTGGCTTCGTGAACACGACATCCTCAACGAGGAAGGAAGTCAACACACATTTGGCGACGATATTGCTGAAGCCGCGGAGCGGAAAATGACAGACATGATGAACATGCCAATCTTCCTCACCCATTTCCCTGTGGAGATTAAGGCCTTTTACATGAGAAAGGACCCCGAGGATGCCCGCGTCACGGAGAGTGTGGATGTGCTTATGCCGGGTGTTGGCGAGATCGTGGGTGGCAGTATGAGGATGGAGGACTGGGATGAATTGATGTCGGCTTATAAACGGGAGGGGATGGACCCATCACCGTATTACTGGTACACTGACCAACGCAAGTAAGTTTTGGCCTCTACTTGCTTTATCCTGCTTTTGTTCTCCTACATCTACCCATCTACACCTGGTATTCCCTCTCCTTCTCCCTCCCTCTCTCTTTTCTCTTTCTTTTCTTTCTTTTCTTTCTTGATAGCGAGAAGGAGAGGGAGAGTTTATTACATCATGTCTATTCTGCTACAAAAAGTCATGCAATCGTTGACTTTGCCGCATTTTGACCCCTCGTACTGACTCCTTATCCTTCACAAAACAGATATGGCACCTCGCCACATGGCGGTTACGGCATTGGACTTGAACGGTTCCTAGCATGGATGTGTGCGCGTTACACCGTTCGTGAATGCTGTCTCTATCCGCGCTTTACTGGACGGTGTACACCATAAAGATTCATAGAGTTCGTGTTTACTTGGTCCTCCTGGAAGTTATGATATTTTGGATCGTGGAAGCAAGAGAAGGAATCAAATGAAAGAAAATATGTGAAGCCAAAAAGGAAGAGAGACACATTTGCTTAGAGGGTTACTTGAAACCTCGGCTTTCCTCAGCCTGTCGTCGCATCCCGGCTAAATATCTGCCTATATAGATGAAGGCCTTGCATGGAAATACATGAGCTTCGTCCGTCCTCTTGTCCAACATGCTGTAGTTCTCATTCACTTTTCTCCTAGAGTTCTAGTCATTAAATTTTTACGTACTAGATATGAAAGAGAGGGAGACACAGTTCACGTTAACCGCTATCAGAATTTCAAAATATATTGATATCTTATCTTTCATTATTCTCTCCCCCATTTAAGTGTATGGGTTCCTTGTTTTATTACTAGGGGAGTAAGAACATACAAAGTACGGAAATTAGTCAAGTACGTTTTGCCGCGCGCCAAGCGCTACTTTACAAAAGCATTTTCATTCTTTATTACCACTAGCGAGATCGCGCCTATCCGATTCGTAGATTGGTTGCAGGGGACACACTAGCTGTGAAATCATCCTGGTCAGGCACCGAGAGCGCGGCTCAGCGGCGTTTGATGCGCTTAATTTGGACGTCATCCATTGCAAGACGGGGAAGGTTTTTAGGCATTTACCACGTTCCAGCTCTGGGACTTATGATCACAATCCACAGGAATATTCAGAATATTGATGGGCAGACGTCCTGGGGGGATTGGGAGGGGAACCATCTCCTGGCTCGAAAGCTTCCAACCAACTATCTGAGGCACAAAGCGTGTATCTCCCGACACCTTGTGATGGTTTGACGTCTATTTAAGAGTCAGTGGCTGCTATCCAACGCCATGCCGGAGTCTCAGAACTGCAGATCAGCGATTTTGTACCAAAATGTCTCCAAAACAGTTATCCTGATCGATATACCTACTTCCATTGCCGTCGCCCAGCAACTCAAACAGCCTGGCTCTGACGAATGGGGTAAAGATAGGGGGCTTTCCCTGCTCTCTTGCGAACCTCTACAACATCCATATCCAAACCCACCAGAGCCAAAAACAGAGGTGGCTCGCAACCGCGTCTTAGCTCAAATACCAACTTCCCAACAACAGTTTCAAAAAAGGATTACGCCCATTATTAGTAAGGCTCTTCAAGAAATTCGGGAGCGCCACCACGCCGATTGGTGTTATCCTAGGTACTCGTGTTTGCGTAAAGATGTTGAAGAGCAAAATGATGGCGACTTCCGTAAAGAAAACGAAGGTATTTCGCAACCCGAGCCAAGCGGATGTCCTCGAAAACGCAAAAGATGTGAACTAGATACAGAGAGTTTTGGGGTAACTCAGAAAGAGTCGTCGTTTATAGATGAAATTGAGCTGCATTCTCAGGACTCTTGTTATTTTGCTCCCAATGAACCTCCACTCATACTTTCGCAGGATATCAATCATGTCCCAGGCTTAGCTGCAATTCAAGGCCTCATGGTCCAAAACCCAACGGCCTTCCAGACTGTCCTAAACATCAAATCGCAACAGCAGCCCTGCACTACTACTGGTGGCAGATCAGCTCCAGAATATATATCCATTAACATTCCTCCAGAATCTAGCTTCATCAATTGCCGTCTTACCCCGCCAACGGAGTCTCATCCTAGTCCCATTCGTGCCCTGTCCACAGATACGAAGTTCAATTTTATTCTCATGGACCCGCCATGGCCAAACCGCTCAGTTCGCCGCTCTTCATATTACAAAGAACACGCCGGACCTCTTCAACCAATAATTGAGGGAGTCCTGCAAAACCATCTCCATCCACACCAAGCCCTTGTCGCAATCTGGATTACCAATTCAATAAAATCTCGTTCCACCACGCTAAATGCCCTTGGAGCGGCAGGCCTATACCCGTTGGAAGAGTGGATTTGGGTTAAAACGACAGTTGACGGTCAGCCTGCCTGGCCACTGGACGGGCTATGGAGAAGACCATATGAAGTACTGATTTTGGCGCAGCGGGAAAAGCCCACTCCCGAAGATAAACAACAAAACAACAAGGATGAAAGCAACAGTGAATTCTGTGGAATCAAACGGAGGGTTATCGTCGCGGTACCAGATATCCACTCACGGAAACCAAATTTGAAAGAGTTAATCGAAAATATATTCTTTCCATCGCCAACCAAAGCTCGTAATGGGACACCAAATGGGAAGGAAAAGTATCTTTCTAGGACATACTCCAGTCTGGAGGTATTTGCTCGCAATTTAACCGCTGGATGGTGGGCGTGTGGGGACGAAGTTTTACGATTTAATTGGACGGGTTGGTGGACTGCGAGGGAGAGAACGGAAAATGATGTTTAGCGGATATCGGTAGTATGTTCACATTCATTCGTGAGCATTGAAATTCGCCTTAACATCTATGAGTATTAGTAGATGGTGAGGTGATGAAAACGTATAGTTATTAGCTCCAGTCTAAATATCAAAAAGGAATATAAGAGTTATACGTATATATATATGGATAATTGTCTTCCAATATATGTCACAGAGGGGTATCTATTTCTGTTAAATGCGGTTTTAGATCACTTTAAGGCCTATGGCCGTGAGTGGTAACCCTTAGAGTGGACTTTATAATGCCATTGGCATGTGTATTTTGTATAACAAACCAAGCAGGCAAGTAAGTATGCTAGTACTCAGCTCGTAGCAATCGACGGTTGAAACATCCTGCTTTATGTCAAATTACGCTAGTTGGGCTCGAATTTTAACCAGAATGTTAGCGACAAGTTGATTCCCTGGAATATGTATCTGTGTTGACTTTTCTATTGTCGAATTTTGGCGGCTAATGACGCCTCTCGTTCCAGGCCACAGATGCAGATATAACTGTTTAAGGTGATTCCACCGTTTAAGAAAGCAGTTCCAAAGTCTCGGCTCTACACTTCAGTGCAGAAATACGTACAGGCGGTGGCCCCTAATTGGATCCATTAGTCAAGCCTCACAGGGGTATAAAATACAAGCATGCTAAACACACCCGTATCCGTGTATATTATCAACATCAACGATAAGAGAAGCCCGTGTTTATATACGCAGAATCAGGCAGAAACTCCTCGCATCACACGGTGCCGACAAAAGATTAATCAATCAAAAACCGGCCCCAAACTAATCAAACTAAACCTTACATCGCCCCCAGCCTCTGTCTCCTTCTTCAACAGTTGGCGAACGCCCAACTGCAAGCCCTTCTCACTCAACACATCCTCCTCCTTGTCCAAAGGCCCACGGTCTAGTGGACCTGTTCTCCGCCCATCCAGTTCCCACAAATGCCCATCGTTTCCCTTCACAAAGCATACGAAATGCAAATCGATTTTCTCATCCGCAGCAGGAGCCGCGGTATCCCCTTTTTTCGCCGCCTCAGCATGTGCGCTCTCTAATGCCTTGCTTGCGTATAGTAAATCGGCTCTTTCAGCGGGTTTCAACGGCTCTGCATCCCTCAGTAATTGATCCAGATCTGAGCCCGGTGTGATATGTGCTTTCACAGCACCGTTACTGACGGCATGAAGGAGTCCGATTAGCCCGCAGGCATTGCGGATAGTTTGTTTGAACCAAGTTACGGGTTCTTTGGGGCCGCATCCTTCATATACAGGCCTACCTGTGTCCTCTGCGATGCGCGCGGCTTCGTAGGCCTTCGTGACGGGGAAAACGAGAAGAATGGCGTGGGAAGGGCGGGGTACGAAGGCGATGATGTCAGGGTCATCGATGCTATAAATATCGGTGAAGCCAAGAGTCGGTGAAACACCTAGTTGATGGATGAGGTGTGACATTACTTCTGGATTGTTTTCTACTGGGGTATTAGTATATTCTTATTCTTATGCCATTGAGGGACGATTTCAAGTTCTTACCAAGGGGAACGAAGGCCTTAGCCGTCGCCGGCGCGTTTGGATTTCCTGCCATTGTGAAATCCTAGGGTTTACAGAATAACAGTGTTTGGCTCAATTATATTTCCCAAGTTGAGAAGGGATTGCCCACGATATAAATAGGGAATTTCTCAAGCCGGATGTTCGTCAGCGAATTGTTGTTGCCTTTGGTATTGCGGGGAAACAATCGTCATGTATGGCAGCCTATTCTACTTTAGGCAGCTAGTTGGCTCCTAGGGCTTAGAATCGCAGGTGATCAGGATTCAAAAGTCAACATTTCGTACTCCACGCTTGGAACAGCCTTTTTATGATGAATAAAGGGTTTGTTTTTTTCCAGTATATGGCACGCTAGTTTGGCGAATACTGCTATTAAAAATTGCGGGTTTTCTTTTATGAAGCCCAGCTGAGAATTTCCATAAGTACTAGTATATACTACCTCGATCATGGCTATCCAGCTCTATACCAAACCTACAGATCTGTAGTTTTCTTTATTATTTCTCAGTTCGCCACTTTGGGCTTCTCGCCTCGTTTCAAGGGTCCAAATACTGTTTTCCATAGCTCAGTTTCCTCGCCGAGGAAGTATGAAATCGAAACATCAGCCATTCCCGCATCAGGTCCGCCACTCATCGTCTCTAACTGAGAGATCAGGTTCTCAAGACCAAAAGCTTTCCCTGTGGATTGAGTAGTCCCACCTTCTAGCATTATGTTGACAACGTGAATATGAAGGTGGTAGTAGGTTGGTTGGTCTAAAATGGAAAATTAGTGTGAGGGACAAAGGAAACAACTCTTGGCTTCGTACGGCATTCTAATCCATAATACGTACAATGGAGATAGAGCTTCAGCTGGTCTCGATCAAGTTGGGGATAAACGTTCACAACACCATCTAGGACTTTCTCTCTCATATGCTTCAGCCACGGGATATGCTTTTTCTTCAGGTCTCGTAGGCTCCATATGTTACGCCGCTCCACCAGACAAAGAAGACGGAGAGTTCCTATTGTCTTGCGGTCCCAGTTAAGATCAGGCAAAAGCAAAAAGCCTTCCTCCGGATCTGACACTCGAATTATTACATCCTCCTGCTCCTTGCGTCCTTCTATAATATTATATACCCAGTTCAGCCTGCCGTTTTCCCTCCTACTCTGCATATATGCACGAACGTAGTTCGCATAAACATCTGGCGTCTCCGTGACCATGCGTACAGTTTGTGCTGAGTATTTCAAGATGTGCTGTTCCGTGCAAGGCCAAATGAGATTTAGCTTTACGTCTGGTGGGGAATCGTGATTGTGCCCAGTTGACGCGAGGTACCAGCGATATATATCGTTGGCTCCAATGACTGCTACATTTGCTAGGGCAGCATGGAATGCTCTTAGGGAGTCCGAATCTGAAATGAAAGCTGCTCTTTCAATGATTAAGATACCGGGCGCGTCATCGATAGAGCCGAGAATGGATATGCGGCGGTCATTTTGATCTGTGAGGGAATGGGAGGATGGTCAGTCGAGGAGAGATAGTGCAAGGAATGATAACGGCTGGTATCGTCATTAGAAGTCGAGGGAATGTCAACCTTGATTGAGTAACCTCTCTACTTTGAATTTCGGTATCAAGCTCTCCGCCTGTCCAATTTCAGCCATCGAATCAAGGAAGTCAAATATTTGCGCGGCAATGGATTGTGCTCTTTGGCCAGTATCAGTTCTTCTTGCTACAAGCGTTGAGCTTTGGCGGCTATTTCGCCATGGGGGAACGGATTATTATGTCATCCGGATAGGGCTGAACTTAGTTATTTAGTTAGGGCATATTTAGTTAACTATACGCATCAACGTTCAATGGAGCCCCTTTGTTTCTACCATTCCCCGTTATCCATCTCTAAAATGATTTCCTTCGCCAATTCTGCTTGTGTTTTGATTATTTTCTTTTTGATTAGGATAGAAGCTTTTAGTTTCTGAGTAACACTATTATAAATTGCTAATTTGCTTGATTATTGACCGAAATATGCGTAGCGTATGTGTTTGATGTCGACACCGATCGTGCAGGATCTATCCTAACATAAGCCGTCCGACGAAATACGGCACCAACGAACTCCATTCAAGATTAATGGAAGGGATGTAATGTATGAATATGAATAGGAATATGAATGTAGAATTGAGGAAGTGGAAGAAGCAATGTATATACACATTAAGAGTAAGATAATATCAATAATGACAACAAGCGATGAAGACGAGCTCTAAGGAGCATTTGAATCCATATTCTGTATACTTTCAAAATGCCGCCAATATTGCCACATTCGCTATTCTTTTAAATAAAACAAGCCAACGACAGTCCGCCAAAACTGTTTCTTAAATACATTCTTGTCGTTTGCCTAAGCCAAGACAATTGGCGATGTTAAAGAAAATGTCGATGTTATTATAGACACCTACATAACAGCGAGTGTATGTTAGCAAATCGTTTTAATCTGCTGTTTCGCCTGTTTAGGGTAATCCTCCAGGGACGAATAGAACAGCTAGATAAACAAAAGAAGTTATTAACATACCTCCAAACGCTTCCTGGCACGGGCCCATGGCGAAAACTGGCACATCGGTCAAAGAATGCACGCCCTGAGCTTCCGAAACTGAAAGCGTTCCGTTAATCACGAATCCGGAAACCGCGTCTTTGTAATTAACATAGTAGTCTTCCGATCCGTCTTTCAGTGTCACTGCGGGCAGTCGCGGGCCGTCCTTGTGCACTTGGTAGTTTTCCCTTCTATCTGGATTTGCGGTCAATCCGGAAAATAGTGAGTAGCGGGGATCCCACTGTGCAGGGAAATGTACACCTTCACTATAGCGAAATGATCCCTCGGTCTGTACAGTGTACTGAGACAGGCCTGATGCTTCGTACACCCCGATGGCATCACGCTTGGCTCGGTCCGTGTCTTGGGCGTTGAGGTATTCCGTATCAACAGTGCCCATGACGTCGAAGCCATGGCCGTGGTCAGCTGTGACGAGGATAAGAGTCTCATCAAGTTTCTTCATACTGCGGAGTTTCTCGATAGTGGCTCGAATGGTGTCGTCAAGCTCGAGAAGTTCTCCAAGGGCGCGATCGTAGTCAAGAACATGCATTTGTTTGTCAATGCTGGCAGCTTCAGACATGAGAAAGAAGCCGTCGTTGCAACTGCGGGTGGTGAGGATGTCAATGGCCTTGAGAGTCATATCTTTGAGGCCTGGCTGGTCATCAGCATCCTTGTCCGAACCATCTGGGTAGTTCTTCTTGTTCTTGAGATTGTCAGTGTAAATGTTTCGGTCAAGCCATTTAGCCATGACACTAGTGGAAAATACACCCAGCGCCTTTTCGGTGTTTGGGGCTTCGGCCAAGGCAGTTTTATTCCAACTGACACTATACCCTTTCTCCGCAAAGAGTTTATAATAATTTTGGCCTAGGTACGCCCTTTCAGGGAGGAAATCCCTCTGCACCACCACCGAAAAGAACGTCTGGTCCCATCCCACTTGGTCCATGAGTAGTTAGCCAGGCCATGGAAGTACGAGTCAATCACGTGTCCCGCTTGACCACGATCCTTCGTATGCGCAGTCAATGCAGCTGGCGTTGCGTCGGCTGAAAATGATGATGTTATTAATACTGCATAAAATTAAAATAGGAAAAGCCGAAGAACTAACACAAATGAGCCGTGGTAACAATTCCAATACCGGCGTTGGGGTAAACCCTGTGGAAGATCTCGGCAATGGTCTCGATTTTGGGGTCGTCAAAGGGAGATGGAGATGAATCCCTGTATACACCCAAAGCATTGACAGTCGTCTTATGGCCAGTATAAAGGGAAGTGGCAGAATTGGCGGAATCGGTAATGATCGAATCCAAGGAATGAGTCATTTGATGACCCAGAACAGGGAATTTATCCATCTGCATCCTGCTTTGGAATCTGCCGTTGACAGAACGATGGGCAATCATACGTGCAGCGGTGATCATGTTAGTGGTCATGCCATCACCAATAAACAGGATCACATTTTTCGCTTTGCGTACTTCAGCTAGATCTCGAACGAGCCAGGTAGCTGTTGTTGTTTTGCCGTCATAGTAGGTGAGAGTTGCTTCGTACTCTCCTGGCTGATATAACGCAACATGTCGATAGACTTTGGATGCAACTTTGACCAATGAGGGTTTCTTCGCATCTCGCGCAAATAAATCTATTAATCATTTAGCATTACGTTTTTGGCTGGGTGTGCAGTTTCCTCTTCTCTCTCTCTCTCTCTCACACACACACACACATATATATATATACCCGCTTTTTGTTCTTTGGAAGAAACAACAACTTACCTTCGTACCAAGTGAAGTCCCATTTCTCAAGTTCAGGTTCCTCTACACCAAAAAATTCGGTAGCCGCCTGTGGTTTGTTATTACGACCTTTCTTCGTAATGGTGAAGGTGAAATTGGGGTCAGGTTCTCCTTCGCGAGCTTCAGAGCCATTGACAGGCGAGTGGACTTCGAGACGAATGTCAAAATATTGGCCAGCCAGGAAATCCGTCCTAAAATACAAAACATCATAACTCAATAAATCCCGACTTTTTTTCTAATGAGTCAAAACTGTGAAAGTAAGAAAAGGGGGACGAGCATACTGGTCTGGTGGAAAGACACAGCCCAACTCAGGGCATCCTCCCAGGCGTTGGAACGTCTGAGCTAGGGCTGTGGACGAAAAGAGCACAGCTCCAGCGATCCACGGAAGCTTCATGGTTACAAATGGTGAAAATGCTGCACGCAATTCATCAACCAATTGACAGCTAGAGAAGCGCAGCACACAGAAGGGAAACAGAGAGGAAGTGAAACAAAAAGTGCTAGGGTAGCTCCTTTTATGTCAATGCAGCTGACGGTGGAAATGGAACAGACTGCCTTTCCAGGGATTTTGTTGGATCGCAAAAGGCTCCGAAAGAGTGATGATATGAAAATGAGGGGCATGTTTCTGCAGGAGAACAGCTGAAGAACGGTCAGTTGGTGATACAGATCCACCGAATGCTACAATGTCATCCTGCGAAAAGTGGATGCTTGGCTAGAGATTCTTTCCATGCCGCACTCTAACAGCCTTCAGCAACAATAACAATAACAGTAGTCGCAAGTCAACAGTTGAATCGCGGACAGGGTCTGCCACACGTGCGTTGCTAATCCCCCAAGTAAAAATAATGACTGCATTTAGCGTCCCGAAAAATAAGAAGTGGCCATGAGAATTGCAAACGATGCCCCGTTCGTGATAGGCTATCGAGCGATAGGTATATCTTGTCGTAACTGCTTTCTTCTCTGTTCTTTCGGTGTGAGAAGGCCTTAGCGGTCCACACCTTCGAACTGTTTTCCTCGCTTGCAATTGAAGACATGCCCAAATCCATATGCTGCTGCGAGGCCTCTGTGGGCAGGGCTTTTTGCCTCACCATTCCCTGTGCGCAAACCCGCACTGGGGTTCCTCTGCAGCGTTCCTGTCGTAAGTTTTGGAAATTTTGGCTCCCGTTCTCTCCGTAAATTCAATGCATTTTGTCCCGCAACACCACGTGTAGTCGATGCTGTTTTTTTGTTCGTGGCTGGGAATCAAGCTTTGAGTTGGTTCCTGGGCCACTTAGCCCGTACTTGTCGAAAGGTTTCCCTGCTAGAGCGGTCTTACGCGGCGTAGTTGGTCCTTGGTAATGCTCTCACCTGTGGAGAATAAGCAAACAAGCGGGGCTGATATGGTAATTATGTTCCAGGAGCTGTCAATCTCGTGCATGAACATGTTGTCGTGGTTGGATAATATCTGCCAGGATTGTTGTGCAGCACGGCAACACAATGGTTTTCTCTCGGGGACTCGATTTTTCGAATACACCAAATGTCTATTCCGTTTGCATAATTTTTTTAACTCACATCATGGTTTTTTTTTTTTTTTTTTTTTTTTTTTTTTTTTGATTATCTATCTCCGATTAGTCATGGTGTTGGGTCAAATCTTCTATCCAATGTTCTAGAATTTTGCCTTTCCGATCTCTACCAAAGTAGCCAAAGTGCAGTGGGCATAACTATCGTATAAAGAATGCATCACAATTGTTCAAAATTCACTGAGACACCGTTACTGTAATAGCCTTTCATTTTCATAAATTAAGAAGCTGAGCTCATGCAGTCCTGTTTGTCATTCCTGTCATTATCCGCTCCGTGGGGCTTCCCATTATCTTGCTGTGCTGTATCTGACGGTGTTGTATGTATCTGTTCGCAAGTTAGCAAACGGATGGATATACTCCTCTTCATGACGGGATATAGCGAAGCCCATTGACCAAAGCAACTGGTACTCTAATACCGCAGAACCTAGTCCCCTATCCAGGATAAACGATGGTGAAGGCCGGACGAGAACCAAGGCAGCAAAATAGGGAATATTTTGAATCCACAGAAATAAAGTCGAATACGCACCGCCTCAGCAAACCGAATCCACTCACTAACCCCTTTAACGAAAGGGTCATCAGCAGCGGGCAACTTTTCATGGTCCCAGACCATGAAGGCCGAGAATGAACCTTGTTTATCGAGTATCGTGAAGGATGTCCAATCCTCACCATCACCCTCACTCTCTTCATCTTCATTTTCATTCTGATCAAGGTCGTGGCTTTGATCATTCTTCTTGGTTCCGGATTCCGATGTTCCATTTGTTTGACTCATAAGAATACCTGTACTTGATTTAAATGATATATTCGGACAGAGTCAGAGTGCTATTCTCTCGCCTTCTTCTCTCAAACTATAGCACCTTATCCAATAATGGCGACGAAATTCTCGATCATATTGGTAGTAGGGAGAAAGCAACATACCTTCATATCCCTCCGGAATTGGAACTCTTCGCCCCCTAAGCCTTCTGCCTCGGAAGTATGCGGTTGCAGTGTCTGGGTGCAATTGAGTTAGCTGATATTCACCATATCTGATGAAGTCGAGTGGTCCATAGATAGGCAACATTAGACAAGACAATAGGAAGCGGTCCAGAGGGGATGTATGAAAATAAACCTCTTATACTAATCCCTAAAATGGGACCAGTGCAGAGCTCCTAGTATAATTAGACTACACCCGTCCGTCCAACGTATAACGCACCAAAGAAGAACAGAATCAAGAGGAAAACAAAAAGGAAACAACATCGCATGAAATGTCCTTCATCTAACCAAACAAAGCAACGTCACCTCCAAACATACCAGGGTTATCCTCATCAGCGACCGGATTCCAGTATCTGGTCGAGATGTTGACCGGTCCATCATGATGAATCCGACACGGCAGAAAGTTTGGAGTTTCTGAGCAATCCTCCTTAAATGAATCAGAATTATTCTTATGTGGCCGTATTGCAAACATTTTGCGCCTTTTCAGTTTGATGGGTGTGCGAGTGCTCGTGTGCGACTGTGTGGTTGAGTCGAATGGATGCCAGAATTGACTGCGACAATGCAATTGGAAAGTTACGGGAATTCCAGGTGCTATGCTCTAAATGAGAGGCTCGATTGGGTTGCAAATATATTTCTGGAGTAAAGACTGAGCTCTATCTTAATGGAGCTTTCCAACCAAAAAATCCTATCATTGGTATTTTGCGACGCGTTGGGTGCGTTGAGTGTGAATGTAGCATTACATAAGCGGCCCTATCTGATAAAAGTTGAACATGGTTAATTTTTCGGGCCGGAATAACCTTCGGCGTGGTTTTGACCATAAACCATATCAACCACCCCATTAAAACTACATACACTGGTCATGTCTCATACATATCTCACACATCTTCAAATGCATTGGGCACAGTGATTTTGTCTTATTTCTCAAAGCTCTATCTCTTAACTAATATTAATCACTAATTCTAGCTTATAACTGCTTTTCAGATATTGAAGTGTCTCAGATGTTGAAGTAGAAGGACTAGTTAAATGAGAGCTGATTAATAATATAGTGAGAGTGTGTAAAAGTTGTTTAGTATGTATGCATTTTAGTGAGGGAGTGAGGGCTGAGCATGGTTTATTTTTCAGACCCACTTTTTTTAAACCACGTTCAACTGTAACCCGCAGTTCTCGTTATAACATTCATTTGGATGTTGAAGCTCAATAGTATTGTCCAATAAGCTCATGTTAAATCATAATATCAAGCTTAATTCATAGTAGTATATACGAGCAGGGGTATATAAAATCATCAAGACTCAAGCTCAACTCAATAAACTCCAAACCAATCAACGATAAATCACATCCATCATAACATCTATTTATTCCCCTTTCCCTTCTTGGCGTTTCTCTTTTTCTTCCTCCTGGTGTCTGCGTTATTAGCATTGCCACCAGCAGGTGCACGTATAGGTGGCCATTTCTTCGCATGCTCCCGCTCAAAAGCTTGTTTGTCTCGTCGGAAAAGAAGCATCGTTGCCTGCGCGTCCTCTATACTTGAATGAGCAGCGCCCTGTATTTCTAACCCTAATAGCTCAGAAGCCAGTATCTTCAGACGCGGTGAGCCGCCGCCAGCAATTTTTCGGTACGGAGGATGTTTACTGGTATCCCGTATATCATGCTTCGGATGACTGAGGAGCAAAGCATCTAAATCGTTCCGGACCGCATGCCCTACCAAAATGCAGCCATCCAGAATACCTGCGACATCTCTTTGGACTACTTCAAACTCTCTGGCATCTGTCATGTGTTTTGGTGACACCCCGCTAACATGTGTTCGCCAGTCCGTCACTTTCTCCTTCGGAAGCACAAACGAATCGTAGACTTGTTCACCGTTGTAGTTGACGATACTCACACGAGCTAAAGCCGAGTCGCGATCGGGATTCGGGCCCACGCCCACCATTTCACAGTCAAGAGCGACATATCTCCCGACCTCCGCGCTGTGGAAGCGGTTAGTCTTTTAACGAAGCGGACAAACATTGTGGAAGGAAACTGACGTTGGAGATATCCCTTCATTAACCTTCGCTTCGCTAGAAGGCTTCGGTTTTGCCTGCACTATTGAGGTTGTGGATATATTCCGTTGCGAGGCTGTTGTTATAGAACGCGATTCTGATTCTTCTCCCGTGGCATCAGTTGACAAGACTAATCCCATCTTACGTCTTTTGGAAAACTTTTCACCCCTCCCGCCTTTCCTATGGGTCTCTGGTGGTAACGATAGCGGTAATTTCTTTTTCTTTACTTCGTAACTGGTTGTAGCAATATTATCTGCTTTGCGTTTTTGGGCAGTGGAGGGGCTGTCGATTTTCAGTGTTTCTTGAAGTTTTCGCCAATTGCTTGAGAGGTTTTTGAGTTCCATTCCGGCGGTGACGAATATCGTTCATCCGTCCATCACGATATAGCGTTACAAGTAAATGACAGTTTAGAGTTGGAAGGGTGTATGTATGGCGTGTGCATGATATGTTGAACTGACAACCTTGTAGTTTTCAAGTTCTCCATCTCTGCAAACAGAGCAAACATGTGTAGATTCACCAAAGGGGCTCAACTAACTATTTGCTACAAGGAATTGAAAGCATGATAATTGCATCAAGCCTCTGGAATTCGTACTATAAAATTCCATAAACTTGCTAATTAGCTTACCAGCTTAAGGCTTAATTTTAAAGTCTTTGTGAGTCATTTCTCTGTATAATCCCTCTTCGCCTTCCCATTGAGGGGAACCGGGTTCCTCGCTTCAAGTTTGCCTTGAACAATGAGATTCCGGAACCTATCTCCAAGCAGGTTGCCCTCAGGCTTCAATAAACGTAGAGAGTCTTGCAGTTCGTCCGGCAGAACAATCTCCAAAGGTTTTACAGGGACCCTAAGATGAGATTGTAAGTCAATATATTAATCCACGCCTGTCAGAGCAATGGGTTGGCTTACGGGTTTTTCCCAAAAGGCCTTCTCCGCAGAATTCGATCGTCCCCTTCTACTGACGATTCATCATCGGCCTTTTTCAATTGTTTCTCGGCTTCTTCTTTCGCCGCGACCGCCTCAGCTATCGCCTTCGCTCGGGCAGCTTGTTCTTCTCTTTTTTTGAGCTGCGCCTCCCATTTTGCTTTCCTCTCAGCCTCTTTCCTCCTTTTTATCTTATTGCGCTGAGCCTTAGTTTTCCGCTCCGGTCTCTTTTTCTTAAGCCATTCAGCGGTTTCATATTCACTCTCAAATCCCTCCCAAGCACTCTCATCATCCGACCGGGCCTGTCCGTTGTCATCTTTCGCAGCTTCGATTCGTGCCAATCTCTCCTGTTCTGCCTTCTCTTCTTCTAAACGTTTCTTCTCAGCCTCAACTTCTTTTTGACCCTCCATTGTTAAAAGGCGGTCCCAATCTTCAAATGACGGGTTATAACTTATTCCTGCATCTGGGCTTTTTATTGATGGCACAGGCTTTCTGTTGGCTGCCAATGACAGTGGCGGTAGTTTTGTTGTTGGAGGTGCAACAATTGGTTTAGGCTTCTCGAGGAAATTAAATTTCGTTTCCTCCGCGAATTCAGGAGCGACGTCCTCACCCCAAGGGTCATGCGATATTACTCTGTTATCGTCGTGTTCCAGCAGATTGGCATCTTTCGCAACTTGCTTCAACCTCATCCACTCTTTGTGAGCAACCCAATCGCTCTTTGTCCGCTTGTTTTTAGGTTCAGTTATCCCGTCTGTAACTTTAGAGCTTCCCCGCTTGCGATTATCAATTGAAGGGATTGCAGAACGCTGGGCAAGTATCTCATCGCACTTCAGGAGTTTTATACTTCTGACTTTTCGTTGGAGTTCGTCTGAGCCTTTGGAGTCTAGAACAAAAAGGTCCTCGGATGACTTTTCCGCAATGACACCCCTAAAGCAAAAATGAACGAGTTGTTAGTCTATGTCAGGGGAAGGTAATAAGGGGAATAGGCCTACCCTTCGATTTCTTCTTCTCGTACTCTTTGTAGGCCTACATCGACCTCAGTCATATCCACATGTTTTCTCCATGCTTTCTTGCCTTTTCGGGAAGGCTGCTTGTATTGATGGGGTGCCCCGATTGTAGTCGCCATAGTATCGCTATTTTTTTTATCGGAAAAGTGGTCATAGAGAATAACTGAATTTTGGAGATAGTGCCATTTTTCGGACGAAATTTTTGGGCTTTTGGTTGGTTATCGATTGGTTGGCGGCAACAGCGCTAAATAAATGCGGCTCCCGGCGGCAAAACTCTCTTGCCGTTTATTTGTCTACACGCACCGCGACAACAATTCAGCCACCTAGAGCAACCATAACCTCAAGCTTGGTCATCCACATCGCCAGTCAAGATGCCAGTCGTCAAGGGTGGAGTATGGTAAGCTACAAATTGTTTCCTTTTGTGATACCGCTCACTAACCATTCTGCCAGGACGAATATTGAGGATGAGATCGTGAAGGTAGCCGTGTCCAAATATGGACTGAATCAATGGGCGCGAGTGTCCTCCCTTCTTGCCAGGAAAACACCGAAGCAATGCAAAGCTCGCTGGGCGGAATGGCTGGACCCTGCTATCCGCAAGATCGAATGGTCGCGAGAGGAAGATGAAAAATTACTCCATCTGGCGAAGTTAATGCCTACACAGTGGCGAACGATTGCTCCTATTGTCGGAAGAACAGCGACCCAATGTTTAGAACGATACCAGAAGTTATTGGATGAAGCAGAGGCGCGGGAATCTGATGAACTTGGCCTGGGCGGCCCTGCTGGAGGTGAAACTGCTGCCCCAAGTGCTGATGATGTTAGAAGGCTACGGTACATTATTACTTTCTTCTTGCATCCTTAATTACCACTAACATCTCTTATTTAGGCCAGGCGAACTGGACCCGGACCCGGAGTCTAAACCTGCACGCCCCGATACCATCGACCTCGATGAGGACGAAAAGGAAATGCTCAGCGAGGCCCGTGCTCGTCTTGCGAATACACAAGGAAAGAAGGCCAAGCGGAAAGCTCGAGAACGCCAATTGGAAGAGTCACGTCGTCTTGCTGTTCTACAAAAGCGCCGTGAGCTGAAAAATGCCGGTATCAACATTAAGGTCGTCACACGGAAGAAAGGCCAGATGGATTACAATGCGGATATTCCTTTTGAAAAACAGCCAGCGCCCGGTTTCTACGATACCTTGGAAGAGGAAGCCAGAAATGAGCGACAAAGAGCTTTGTTTGATCCTCGAAAACAACAGCTTGCCAGCAAACGGAAAGGTGATCAAGAAGAAGATCCCGAAAGGAAAAGAAGGAAAAATGACAAAAGTGGCAATTCCGCCTTCGCTGCAGCTGCAAAGGCAGGACAGATGCAGAAAATCCGAGAAGCGGAACAGAGTAGTAAGCGTCGGGCCCTCGTGCTCCCGTCTCCTCAAGTAAGCGAAACCGAACTTGAGGAGATCGTGAAAATGGGCATGGCAGGAGAGCGGGCAAGCAAAATGGCTGGGGAAGAGGAGAACGATGGAACGCGGGGTTTAATCAGTAACTATTCTACTATCGTTGGTGGCACTCCCATTCGAACACCCAGAGCTCCGGCCGAAGAAGATCGTATTGCAAACGAAATCCGAAATATCAAAGCCTTAACGGAAACACAATCGTCTCTACTAGGTGGAGAAAATACTCCATTACATGAAGGCGGCGGCTCTACTGGTTTTGAAGGAATCGCGCCACGGAAACATGCGCTCGTTACACCAAATCCCATGGCCACGCCGTTTCGCCAAGCTGGTGCTAACGGCATAGGTGCCACTCCCATGAAAACGCCGATGGGCGTAGGAGCCACTCCACTACGCACGCCTAGAGACAACTTCGCTATCAACAAGGATGCTAGTATGGGAACGCTTGTTGGTAACACGCCCAAGGAGATGAAATTGCGTGAGGACTTCTTACGGCGCCAATTAAGTAGCCAACTTTCCAGTCTTCCTGCACCAAAAGAAGTGGAGTGGGAGTTGGAAGAAATGCCAACGGAGCAAGCAGAGCCGACTGGCAAAGAGGTGCCTTCAGAAGAGGACGCAGCTGAGCGGGATAGGAGAAATAAAGCTGCTGCCGACGAGGCGGCTCAAGCGGAATTTGAAAGGCAGAGCCAGGTGTATAAGCGAGGTTTACCGCGACCCAGTGTGATCAAGTTGGACACGTTAATGGAGAATTCAAGCAATGTTTCAGACCCTATTCAAGACTTGATTACACACGAGATGGTCACTCTTATCGCCCATGATGCTCGAAAATTTCCCTTACCGGGTGCCAGGATTGAAGGGAAAGCTCCGAAATTGACCTCCTTTAGTGATGCACAACTTGCTTGGGCCCGTGCAGCTATCACAAGTGAGGTGACACGTCTTCCTCCCCAGCAAGATTGGCAGGATACTTTTACGACCTCGTGGTCTTCTCTCCATGAATCAGCTAGCCTTCTGGGCCTTTCGCTCTATTCCGATGACGATGATTATGAGACGCAAGAGCAACAAATGATAGCCGCTTTTGAAAACGTCCATACGTCTCTCCTAGCCAGCGCGGAACAGGGGAATAAGCTGGAGAAAAAGATTTCACTCCACAATGGCGGATATCAAGCGCGGGCAAAAACTCTCAGGGCAAAAATCATTGAAGCCAGCGAAGCTCTCGAAAAGGCCAGATTCGAGTTGGACGCTTTCCGGACTCTTCAGCTTGGAGAAGAATCGGGTATTGGTAGGAGACTCGAGGGCCTCCGTGATGAAGTGACCTTCATCACCCGACGGGAGCGCGAGGCGCAGGAGCTGTACAAATCGCGAAAGGAAGAACTAGAGTCACTGGAGGGCGGTGTAGTGAATGGATGGCACCGGTAGACTGTAGAAAGGATGATGATGATCCGTTAAGTTTCAGGAGGCTTGGCCTGCCTATCTATATTCTTTTCTGTTGGGTTAGGGATGTCTTGTATTAATATCATACCTTAAGAAACCATTCAGAGCTTGTTAATTTTGCTTAGCTTATTCTCTCTTGCCTTGGTGTGAATTTTATTTCAGGCTTCGTTCCGAAACATTCGCTGCTGAGTAACGCAATATTGTGGGTAGAAACCAGGGAAGTTACTTACAGGTGGCGTTTAGCCAATCCTGAACCGAGGATCAAAAACACCTCAAACCTCCAACAACAGCGACATCCGATTCACCTTCATTCATCAATATCTCCACCACAACACCAGTTTCCATCGCCAAACAACATCATATCCCGTAGGAAATTCCGCTGTGAATAACATGGGCGTCAGCGACGCTTCCCAAGAAGCCGCTGTCACGCCTGATCCTGTCGAAAAGGGGTTTGCCGCTCTCAACACCCTCAGGTACACCCCCAATTTTGATATACACGAAGTATACTATTGCAGTAATCATCTCAAACATCACATATGCTGATTTTTATCAATTTTTTAGGATCGGCGTGAAGGCATTTGTAGAAAAGGTGAGCGCAAATTTTCGCCTTAACCGCGTATAGTCACGTGATATAAAAAAGATTCCGCGACAAAAACATTAACCACGAGTTTAGGATGGCGAGTATCGAAAGGCGGAGATTTTATCCATGAGACAGCGGAAGGGAGGGTCAAGTTTTTAGTAGGCTTCTTCTTATGATTTTCTTTGGTCTTTTTTCCACGTTTTTCCATCCAGTTGCCTCCTCTCCTTGCACAGGTGGAGAATGCTAACAAGTAGCCATTAGCGTTCACTATGTCGACTTCAACAAACGGCTTGATGGTATGTACAGAAATTCGTTATACAACAGATATGAAAAGAGTTATTTAATATTTTACTAATAAATGTATCGTTGCAGAATGGGTTCCAGCATCCAGAATTGATTTGACCCAGGAGGTTGAGTGGCCGCAGCCAGAGAAGCCCGAGAAGAAGAAAACTTCTGGTGCTGCGGCTCCAAAGGCACAGCCGAAGAATGTTCCGAAGCGGCCTCGGGGAGGTAGTCGAGAAATATCTGCTCCAGAACTCCTTGCTGACAAAGATTTGAATATCAACAAGTCATCTCGTCCATCCAAGGCTGGCGGGAAAGAGAACCGTGAAGATGAAACGCCGCAGAACATTTCGCTACTGGGCAGCGAGGCTGTTTCTTCTGTTAGCACGCCTAAGCTGGATGGGGAAACTGAAGATATTGAAATGGTCGATGCTGGTGACGCAGAAGCAAAACAAGCCATAAAGGAAGAGGAGGATAAGCTTGCTGGGGAAATTGCAAGAGAAGAGGAGATTGAGAAGCTCCGAACCGGCGGAAGTATGACTCAAAACCCGATTGAGATTCATCGGGTACGAAACTTGACTCATATCCAGATGGGCAAATTCGAGATAGAACCCTGGTACTTTTCGCCTTATCCTGCACACTTTACTGATGCGGACATGGTGTACATTGATGAGTTCTGTCTCAGCTACTTTGATCAGAAAAGGTCCTTTGAGAGACACCGTAGCAAATGTACCCTAGTCCATCCACCAGGAAACGAAATTTACCGTGATGATAATGTTTCTTTTTTTGAAGTCGATGGACGCCGTCAACGTACTTGGTGTCGAAACCTATGTCTCCTTAGCAAGCTATTCCTGGATCATAAAACTCTCTATTACGATGTTGATCCCTTCCTCTTCTATTGCATGACTACGCGGGACGAACATGGCTGTCATTTGGTCGGATACTTCTCCAAAGAAAAGGAATCGGCAGAAGGATATAATGTGGCCTGTATCCTAACATTGCCGCAGTATCAACGTCGGGGCTTTGGTCGTCTGCTCATCGCGTTTAGTTATGAGCTTAGCAAGCGAGAAAACAAGCTAGGTTCACCCGAGAAACCTCTTAGTGACTTGGGGCTGTTGGGTTACCGTCAATATTGGCGAGAAACCATTGTCGACATCTTGATGGAGCCAGGCAGAGAGACCATTAGCGAGAGTGAATTGGCGAGTCTTAGTGCAATGACGGAAAAGGATGTCCACGAGACGTTGGTCGTATTGAATCTCCTTAGGTATAACGTACGTATATATCTTGACTCCTCATCCCACACCCCAGATTCCCTGCGCGAACTGTACATAAAATCCTTCACAAAAATATACCGAAAATACTAATACTCTTATAGAAAGGAAACTGGGTCATCGTCCTCACCGATGCCGTAGTCGAACAGCATAAAATACGTTTGGAAAAAGAGAAAATAAAAGGCACCCGGAAGATTGATCCCGCCAGGTTACAGTGGAAGCCTCCAGTTTTTACCGCGTCGAGTCGGACGTGGAATTGGTAGTATTCCTTCTTCCGTTTTCTTCTTTTCTTATTTGCCTTTCCTTTGTTACTCTTGTATACTCGATCAAGATTTCCCTATGCCGCGTGGCCTTTCACGATGTGTTGTTTTTCTGGGTATTGAGTTTGGCTGGGAGGCTATTCGCTTGATTTTAAAGTCCTTTATATTCTAACTCAGCGAGGCGTTTGTCTGGTGGCTTATTATTCTACCGGGTCCTTTCGTGTGTGGAGTTTCGTTTTGGTTTTCTGCAGATTTTAGTCCAGGTCCTTTGCTACCTCCATCAGTTAGTTATATATATATTGAGGTCACCTCCTATCTCTTTGTGTACCCCTATCGCCTACTCATGTCATGTATAGCAAACTACATGACAAGATTCTTTCTCCTTACATAATTTACAGAGCTAAAAAAAAATTAAAATACAATAAAAAAATATTGTCATAAAACGGCATTAAAGTTCTCTTATTTGGTTTTTGTTCAAAGGAGGCTTGAGGAACATCTAATATCCCTCCGTCATTCAGGGCCTCCGTGGCAACATGCAGCCATGTGGCCCAGCTGAAGGCAGAGGTGAGTTGCACCTAAGCAGCCGGGTACTTAGCTAGACAATGTAATAAACTACGTCTTCTGTTCAAATCGTGCTTGCGGGGGTTATTCCTATTCAAATAATAGATCGACTCGGCTGCCTTCACCAACGTCAATGGCCAAAGTCCCACACATCTACTCGAGCATCAGAGTATTATTGTTAAAACCGCAAGCTCTGAAATTACAGTTTCAGCAGTTTTTAATAAATGATAATGATAATGGTAATGATAACAATAATAATAACCTTCACAGAATGTTATAAAGGATGTGCTAATTTCGATAAAAATGAAGGGAATAATGTACAGGCCCCCACAATGCCAGGAATCATTGGTCACCTTTGTTTACAACGAATCTAAGGTGCTTTGTGTCTGGATGATAAGAGGTGCACATAAAGGTTTAAAAAAGAGCTCATCTTCGTTCTTTAGGGGTAGATTTCGCACCTCAGTATAAAGAGCATCTTTCATATGGATGGTGTAAGTTTGGGAGGAATGGGGGGTCGGGGAGAAGAGTTTGATGGCGTTATATGGTGAGATGTAAAGGGTTAATCGAGCCAAAGGAAAACGAAAATAAAGCAATGACAGCGATTATCAGCGTAGTATCAGAATGAAACATAACGAAGAATAAGAACTCAGAAGGGTACAAGCGATTAATGCTCCAAGGTACCTCAGAAAATGTGGAGTCTCTCAGCGTCAACTCTTAGCAAAGGAAGTAATGCAGATCGTTAACCAAGGCAGGTAATTTAATATAAAACATACCACTAGATGAGATTAAAACGCGCATTCGAATAGAGTTAATGGGCAGCGCTAGCAGACGGACGACTGCTCCAGCTGCCGCTGTTTTGGTGCACTCGCGGTATTGTAGAGGCAGATTGTGGATGCTTTCTTGGTGCGTGGGAGTGGCTACAGTTGCCAGATCCTTCTCTAGGTTTCACATTTTTCCGCTGTTTGAACGTTGAAGAACCCCTTTGGCGAGTAGGATTGCCACCTCCCTTCTTGGGGAATATTAGCGTCTTGGCAACATCTCCACCTGGTAGATGGATGATCACAGAAGTATGATTGTCATCGAAAACCCCAGAAATATTCGGCTCAATGCTCCAAGGCTGGACAGGCTTTGAATATTTAGAACGCAAACGGGAGTGTGGCGGAGGGAGGGCGGGCAGCCAGGCTGCTTTAGGAGCCATGATTGGCAGCTTCACCACCGGCGTCGAGCCTGCTTCACGGTCTTCAAAAATAGCCTCCTCATCTTCCACATCTTTAGATGTGGCTTTGCCAGCATCGCGGAGTTCAATCTCGTCATGCTGGGGAAAGGATACGGAGGCGAGCGATGCGGATGGCTGAACTTCAAGAGGCTCCTTGGTAACAGATGCAACAGCAAGAGCGTAAGTCTTACCGGGTGAAGGCTTCTTACCAAATAATCCATTAAATCTGTCTTGCCATGATGTAGTGTTTGTAACAGGTTGAGAAACAGGACGGACTGCAGGAGCCGCAGCCATAGAAGGCAACGTGGCCGTGGTCATGGGTAGTGCCGGTGGTGATACTTGTTGTGGAGGGAGTTTCACACGAGGTTTCGGGGTTGGTAGGTGGACCAACGGCCGGTTGGAATCTCCAGTAAAAACTGGGTGGCTGGAAATATCGTCTGGTGGAGGTGGTGAAGGGCTTCTAAGATGTGTGCTGGGGATATTTGCTGGCCTTCTAAGTTGGTCACCACCGTGAGGGAAAAATCTCGATTCTCGTCCTGTAGGATTTGTGGGAGGTTTTGTAGACACGTCGGAGAATGGTAACGGAGTAACTGCTGCTGGGAATCCATGCAAGGTTGGGAGTGACGCTCCCCTATCAGTTGACCTGGCAATACTGACGATTTGGTGCTGACTGGCCTGATCATTCTCGACTTGCCGCCAGGTTTCATTGAACGAGACCTGAAGGGAAACTGGACCGAGGCCGCTCCGAGCTTCCTCTTCACGCAAGGTTGTTAGTTCTCGATGGAACTTCTCACTTTCTCCTGCTTCTCCTTTCGCTGCCACAGAGTGGAAATCATTCCAGCTTGATGTGTCCTGGGATCGACGAGAGACTTGATCATGTTGCGATCGTTGTGATTGCGAGTGGGAATTTGGGGGCCCTATAGGTGTTGGTCTAGCAATTGGCTTCAGAGTTTCATTACGCGAAGGTCGTTCTTGTGGGGATGAGAGCGGCGATGACGGACGGCCGTTATCTGCCATGGTCTGAGGTCTCTCAGTACTACCAAGCCTGTCGTTTGTCGATGGCAATCCAATCGTTAGTGGTAAGTCTCGGGGGGGAAAGCCGGTCAAATTCCTATCAAAAGTGCCATTTCCGAGTGCTTTATCATTGCTGAGAGGGCCCCACAAAGACGAGGTCGGAGCGGGATGAGGACTAAGCTTTTGGCCGGACCATGAAGTGTACGGTGTTGCTCCCGCAAGAGGTCCTTTCCACTGCGGAGGCTTTTCATCCATTATGGACTCATGGCTTGATTCCGTCGGGGAAGACTCCGTAGACGGACGTACTCCATTTACATTTGTTGAAAGGTGGCGGTTAGATTCGAATTTAGAATCTCGGGGCGGCGATGCCGGTTGGCGAGGCTGGTTGTTTGGAAATGGTCTGTCCGGGCTTTTCTCGCTCGCTGCTACTAATTTCTTTGCAGATGCTGGATGGTGTACTTTCATCATTCCATATTGTTTTGGTTCCCCTGAAGGCTCAGGAACAGGAGGTTTGGGAGGTGAGAGAGTGGGTGCACCTCCCGCCGCTGGCTTTGATAATTCAGGCGGCGCAGACTGCGCTTCACCCGCTGGCTTTTGCAATGTGCTGCCAGAAGGCTTTTCGGGTATCTTTTCTGCTGGTTTTTCAGGGGACACTCCCATAGCTTGAAGCTTCAACCTAATTCTTTCTTGTTTCGCTGCCTCTTCCCTTTCTTCCTCTTCCTTCCGGCGCTGTCTTGCAAGTTCTCTCTTTTCGCGCATAATGCGCTGTTGCATCGAGATAGGATCCTCGAAAGGCACCTGCTGCTGTGCTGCTGCGTTGGTTAATGGCGGACCCGATTGTTGAGTGGCTCCACCATGGAATCCAGGAGGCGCATAGTGAGTGGTTGGAAGTGCCGCGCGGTTTTGGCGAGCCGAGGATTGGGGCGGCGAAATGCCACGAGGGGGGTATTGTCCCCTCTGGTGAGGGAGAGGCGAGGATGACCGTTCATTTACCCCATTCACGGGACCTTTTCCGAGAGACATCCGCCTACCAAATGCGCCACTTCCCCCGCTGACATTCGATGACGTACGCCTCCTTCCCCAGGAAACACCATCAGCAGCTGATGCGCGAGATTGGAATGTTGGTGAGGGTTCTGCTGGGGTAGGCTGTTCTCCATGAGTGGGCCGTTGTAGGAGTGAGGGAGGCCTGAAATTTGTTTCATTTCGAGCTGGGCCTCGACGAGTATCTAGAACAGGTTCGTACCGGCCAGATTGCGAATTATAAAGTTCACGAGGAGCGCTAGAATGGGTATCTCTCCACGATCGATTAAAATCATCCGCGGCAATTTCCTTCGCTGGGCCTGATGTTGCAGGACCAGGGGCATGGCCATGAGCGTCTCGTTGAGAAAAGCGGGCCGATGGCACATGTAAAGGTGGGCCAACCGTTACGGGAGGAACTTTGTCGATTGGTGGCAAAGGAGCCCATGGAGATCTGTGGGCAGCAGACTGAGCTTTGGAAGTCAGGGTGGGTTTCCCATTCTGGTTCTTTGCTAAAAGATCCCCCGGTCTGTTTTGTTTATCGGAGCTTGCTCCCAGTTTAAGAACAGTTGCATTCGGGCCAACAGAGCTGGTTTTAGAAAGCAAGAGCTTGGATTTGCTTTCAGGTAAGGGAGGGGACAGCTTTCCGTCTTTTGTCGTATCCTTTTCTTTCGCACCAGGGAGCGGAACATTTTCTGTATGAGTGAGTGTAATCTTCGTACCGTCATTCCATTCTATTGTTTCAGGTGCCCAATCATCCTCGTCATCGTCGATATCTGCCCACTTAGCTTCCTTGCCATTCCCATCTTCTTGAATCCTAGACGTCATGTGTATTCCGTATTGTTGCTTCAGCTCTTCATCTGTCAAGTGCTTAGCTGATGGAGGTTGGACAGCTGATTGTTAAGGTTAGTATAATAATACCAAGAGAGTAAAGAAAAGAAATAATTTCAGCAACTCACGTCTGTTTTTGTTCCAGACCTGATTTGGATCAGGACCACC